TTCACTGTTTTTCAAACTTCTGTTCTGGAAATGCTGTTCAGATATATGACAGAAATCATATGGACGATTCTCAAGTCATTTCATGATTTTTTTAATATGAACAATACTTACATGTGCTAGATGTACACATGTTTCAGTGTGCCATTGAGAAATATATCATTGTAACATATTGTATTAGCATTCAAATCCTAGTGCAATGTAGTGTGGAGTCAGTATTATTAGTACATAGAAACATTACATTTGACTTACATCCTGAATTATCATGATTATAGTATATTTCATCAGCCTATGTAATATTTCCTGTACTGACAATGACATATGGACAGAGCTCATACAAGTTTGCAACATGGGCAAAGAAGTCATTTTCCTGTCCCTCACTTTGCTTTCTCTTACTGCCAAAAGTGATATCTAGTTGCCTAGGTGTTCACACTTTTGTTATCTGTAATTTTCGATTTTTACCAAGTTTATGAATCAGCATTTTTTCCTTTTTAAGAAAGAAAATTCATATACAGATATATATATAGGTATAAGACCTAGACAATTTATTTTTAAAGAAATGTGAAAGCATTGACTTTGTAGACATGTCGCTTGTTGTTTCAAAAACACTACTTTTATGAAAGAAAAATTTAGAGATCTTGAAAAGTGGTAGTCTGAAGATTTTGACCAGCTATGTTTTGCAAAGAACCAACATAATTTTGGTATTTTGCAATAGAAATGATAGTGAGGACCAGCAGATTTTCTTCGAGGACCACCAGGGGAAAAAAGATTTGCAGAACTTTGACAAATTGAAGTTATAATAATGTGTACATGTACTGATTGATATTTTAGTCTTTGATTCATGATTTTTTTATTAGTTGTTATTGGCTTTGAACAAGCTTTCAATAACTGCAATTACTCTCAGATCTGTACTTTGTGTCTTTAGTGTTTTTGTGATTTGTATCGTTCTGTATAGTTAAGCCCTTTTCAACTTATTTTTATAGTTTGTTCTTAAAAGATAATTTCTTTTACTTTTTATTTTTGTCCTTTAAATATGCAACAGTGCTAGGTATTTAGTTGGTAGTTCCTGACTAGTGGGATAATATAATGTGTAAGTAAACTCTAAATGACAGTTTAAGACAATTTAAACTGAGACAACTGTTACTGTCATAGTATTCTCAGGCATGACATAAAATTGGATTTGAATAAAAAAATAAAAAAATAATTACATTTTAAATAAATAGGATGCAGATGGCAAGATATATATCATCATAAAAATCAAAAAATTATTATATATATAATACATTTGTAATAGTGCCACAAACAAAGAGGCATGCTTGCATGTCTCTTTTAAGTCTCATCACTTCTCCATATCAGTTTTAGTAGTGCGAGCCCTAATGGAATTCAAAATGATTTTACCAATTGGAAACTAAAATTTCTTTTTATCTTATGGATAGAAAATCTATTACATGTATTAGGATCAGAAAAACTTAACCCCTTGCTCAAATAAAAAGTTTATGATAATGCTTTAAGCTATTTTTTCAAAAGGAATGTTTCAATAAAAATTTATCAGAAGCAAAATTTAATAAGCTTTATTGTAAATAGAATCAAGTTTTCATATTTTCATGAATTTAAAGATCATGTTGATATTTCTAAAGTGTACAACATTTTATCAGAATCAGACAGACCTGTCTTGAAAGTAGATTTATTTGACAATATATACATTTATTAAAACTGAAGTACAAATAATTTAATTGAAAAATTGTTCATCATTGAAGAATTTATCATCCTTGTTGTATGTAGATTAATTATGTAAATGAACTAAATTTAGGAATACAAAATCAGTTTTGCTGGTTGAATATGTATGATAATACTAATCATGCTAATAGCATTTCAATACAATAAAAATACCAATGTATTTTTTAGAAAAGTTGGGTAAAACTCTGTAATTTTGCTTTGTTTGTTTGGATTTTAACAAAACACCAGATTATTTGGTTTATTTTTTATCGTCACATAAATGATTGATTGATTGGTGTTTGTTTTAAGCCGCCTCAGTCGTCACATAATGCATTATATTAGTGGGGTGATTTTTTAGAGAATTTTCACCTTTTTATACGACCGCAAAAAAATTTTGAGGTTGTATATTGGTATGACGTTGGCGTTGTCGTCGTCCGAAGACACATTGGTTTTCGCACTCTAACTTTAGTTTAAGTGAATGGATCTCTATGAAATTTTACCATAAGGTTCAATACCACAAAAGGAAGGTGGGGATTGATTTTGGGGGTTATGGTAACAACACTTAAGGAATTAAGGGCCAAAAAGGGGCCAAAAATAAGCATTTTTGTAACTTCCAGACATAACTTGTGTGTTAGTGTATGGATCTCTCTGACATTGTACCACAAGGTTCCATATCACAAAGGGAATGCTGGGATTGATTTTGGGGGTAATTGCCTCAAAATGTGAGAATTAGGGGCCAAAAAGGGGCAAAAACAAGCATTTTTCTAGTTTCATGACAATAACTTGTGTTCAAGTGTATGGATCTTTATGAAATTGTACTACAAGGTTCCATATCACTAAGGGAAAGCTGGAATTGAGTTTGCGGGTAATTGCCCAAAACGTTTAGGAATAAGGGGCCAAAAAGGGGCAAAAAATAAGCATTTTTCTAGTTTCCAGACAATAACTTGTGTTCAAGTGTATGGATCTCTCTGAAATTGTACTGCAAGGTACCATTTCACAGAGGGAAGGCTGGGATTGATTTTGGGGGTAATTCCCTCAAAATTTTAGGAATTAAGGGCCATAAAAGGGCAAAATAACAAGCATTTTTCTAGTTTCAGGACAATAACTTGTGTGTAAGTGTATGGATCTTTATGAAATTGTACTGCAAGGTTCCATATCACAAAGGAAAAGCTGGGTTTGAGTTTGGGGGTAATTGCCCTAAATGTGTAGGAATTTGGGGCCAAAAAGGGGCAAAAAAACAAGCATTTTTCTATTTTCCAGACAATAACTTGTGTTCAAGTGTATGGATCTCTCTGAAATTGTACTGCAAGGTACCATACCACAAAGGGAAGGCTGGGATTGAGTTTGGGGATGATGAATCATAAGGGGGTTCAAAAAATTTGGGGGGTATTTTTTTTTCCTTTTTTTTCTTTAAAATTTTCCATTTTAAATTGGTTATTTCTGATTTATATATAAAAGCAAATAATAATGATTTGGTTTGAATAGGTAAATTAAAAAATTTTAAGTTCTTAGACCACAATCATTCTGTGTCAGAAACCTATGCTGTGTCAAATATTTAATTACAATCCAAATTCAGTGCTGTATCAAGCTTGAATGTTGTGTCCATACTTGCCCCAACTGTTCAGGGTTGGACCTCTGCGGTCGTATCAAGCTGCGCCCAAGCCGAGCATTTTATTTTATTTGGCATGATGATCAGACAATGAAGCATTGAAGGTAAAATCATAAATTAATGCTATAAGTTATTAATACAAAAAATTAACAAATGACCATTTCGCATTAAAAACTCATTTTAATTTTTAACTGGATTTCTGAAGGAAAAATCGGTTATTGATTTGGGGATGTACAGTGGGCGGGCAGGAGGGCGGCCGGTGGGTTGGCGACGGCAGCAAAAAGGTGTCCATGCATTTACTCATGAACCGTTCAACCAAAATTAAAGCTTTTCAAATTTTAATATGTTATTACTGATGACAAAATGGAGGTCATGTACAATATTGACGATTTTCACTTTCACCATTCAGGAGTTATGGTTCTTGAAAGATTGTAAAATGGTGTTTCCAGTCGTGTCTGTTCTTTAACTCATGAACTGTTCAACCGAAGCTTTTCAAATTTTAATGTTTTTACTGATGACAAAATGGAGGTCAAGTTTGATATTGACGATTTTCACTTTCTTCTTTCAGGAATTGTGGTTCTTGAAAGATTGAAAATGGTGTTTCCAGTCGTGTCCGTGCTTTAACTCATGGATCGTTCAACCAAAGCTTTTCAAATTTTTATATGTTGTTACTGATGACAAAATAAACATGATAAAGGTCAAGTTCAATATTAATGATTGTCACTTTTACCGTTCAGGAGTTATGGTCCTTATGCTATTGAAAAATGCCAGGTCACAAATAAATGTTAAAAAAACCGGTTTACTGTCATTCTGACAGCTTTACCAGATTTCCGAAGGAAAAATAAGTTATTGATTTGGGGATGTACAGGATGTAAGGCGGGCGGGAGGGCGGCTGCCAAACAGTGTCTGTTCATTAACTTGAAAACGCTTTGACAAAATCTTTTCAAATTTAGATATGTTGTTTACTGTGATTAAATGAAGGTCAAGTTCCATTTTCACGATTTTAGCTTTTATCGTCGTTGAGTTGTTGACCTTCAAGTAGCGAAAAGTGATACTTCGAGCGTTGTCCGTGCAATAACTTGAAAACACTTTGACAAAATCTTTTCAAATTTAGATATGTTGTTTCCTATGACTAATTTTATGAAGGTCTAAATCGATTTTCACGATTTTAGCTTTTAGTGTTGTTGAGTTGTACACCTTTATGTAGGGAAAAGAGACACTTAGATTGATTTTGGCCTACAAAAATTCATTTATATTTTTTGACTTGATACTGTTTTGGGGTCCAGAATTGCAAATATCATTTTCATGCAGGAAAATCCGGTTTGCTGTCATTCTGACAGCCTCTTGTTCTTAGTAATTTCGTACTATAACATGGTCTGGTATCACATTAGAAATTACTCTACTATTAATATTGATAATAATTGCAAAATAATGAAATAAAAAATTCTGAGTTTCTTAATTTGATCTTTTAACTTCATTTTTTACTTGCAATCCATACTGAAATGATAATGCCTTTATATGTTGAATACCTAGGTTCAGTAGTCTTGATTATAATGTAGGGTTATATATAAATCTATGACAGTATTCATGGTATATAACTTTATAGTTTGTAATATATATTTAGGTGAACATCAGACCATGACAAAAAATACAGGGTAGATCTGTTTGTTTATTTCAGATTTTCAGAAGCAGATATGTGATAGAAATTTTTGTTAGTGTGGAGAAATAAGACGGCAACAATGAGCCTAACTGTGATATTAACTATATTTACATCATTCCTTGCCTCAGCAGGTAAGAAAAAATAATCATAAAAGAATTAAATAATCGTCAACATAAATGTGGTTCACAATAAGTAAACTTTTATATAACAATCCTTTTAATGGCATTGAAACATGAAACGGCCTTCAACTTTAAATTAATGTTAAGAATATACTATCCTTCAGGCGAATGTGGTACATTTTAACTACTGTATATATAAAACTTGAAATATTTCATGAATATAGTGAATAACTTTAATAGCAGATATACTTTCTTTATATTTAGTTGTAAATTAAATTAGATGATTTTTTCCGTATCTTTAGATCTTTCTAAATAAACTTTTTTTTATCTTTTATTTGTTTTCAATAGTCAGGATTTTACAATACCCCTACAATCACCACCTGACTATGGTTTTTGGGGCAAACATTGAAAGTTATATACAAGACTATCCATTTTTTTTTTAATTTATATTCATTATCATAATTCAAGAATATAGTTATTAAAGAAAAAAAAAAAAAAAAATAATAAATATAGCTGCTCACACTCACACTTTCTCTCACTACTTACACACAGTCATTGCGATCTTACCATTAGTATGCATGTATGTCTATATATAAAGTAAAAATCAAATATCAACTGCTCACTATAGTATAATTTAAAGTATAAACGATAATAAATCATGAAAAAATTGTATGTAGTGGGGACCAGAATCTTTCATAAGATGCTGCTCTATTATTTTTGTTTGCAATATAAAATTCATTTGATTGGTATTGTTTTATTCTGGATTTAAGTCCTACAAAACTAGGAGCTATATTTCTTAACTTACATCTAAAGATGTAGTTTTTAGCTATAATAATTAACAAATTTATAAACAAACTCTTAGTAATAAATCCCAGTAAAATTTCCATCTTACTGATGCTGAATTGCTCATCAAATAATTTGATTTTCTGTAAAAATGACAACCAAAAATTGTATGTAACATTACAATCATAAAATAAATGTTCTATTGTTTCCTCTTCCTCATTACAGAAGGTACATAGACTTGTTTCCTTTTGCTTAATTCTATATAAAAATGTATTAGTAGGTATAATTCTATGTAATATTTTATATTGAAAATTCTTTAAATATGTATTACTACAACATCTTTTCAAAAGAGAAAAATACTTCGACCATTCTGAGATTTCAGAATTTGTTACATCCTCCCATTTCAAAAATTTCTCATATGGGAGTATGCATATTTTATCTACAAGATCTCTGTATACAAATTTTAACTTCTTATTTTCCAAGATCCTTTTAGAAAATGCATCAAAAGGAACAAAATTTTCTAAGTTCAAATCACAATAATCTTTGATGTATTTTTTGATATATTTTGGAATGTTAGATAATAAACTATAGTATTTCAAAAAATTTTCCAAATTAAGTTTTTGTCTTACTTGTTGAAATGTTAATAGTGATTTACTTTGACTATCTACAATGTCCCTTATAAACTGTATACCATATAACTTCCATTTCATATATACAGGATATTCAGATATTGGTATAAAGTTTAGAATATCCAATGACAAAATTTCTGGAACACATAACTTTGTATAGGGCTTTGCCATGTGTAGACAATCAAATATGTCTTTCCAAAATGGATTTTTTAAGCAATTTGAAACTTCTTTAATCTTATCCTTTTGTAATGTAAAGACTCTGTCACCACCTAACTGTTTTAGTTCTGCTAGTAATAAATTCTGCCAAGTACCATCTGGATTTGATAAAAATCTCTTTACCCAAGATAATTTAAGATATGTACAGAAAGACTGCAAATGCACCATATTTAATCCTCCCTGTGAAAAATCTGCAATAAGAGTACTACACTTGACTCTATCAGTCTTACCATTCCAAATGAAATTAAAAAACATAGCACTCAGCTCATTTAATTGTGAGTGAGGTAAATTTGGCAGGGCAGTCAACAAATGAATCAGTCTCGGTAATGCCAGAGTCTTAATTACAGTAATTTTATCTAGTAATGTTAATTTTCTATGTTGCCCGCTTTTTAGTATAGCTGATCTTTTTTCTAAAATTAATATCAAGAATACATTTTAAATCAAGCGAAAAATCTATTCCTAAAAGTTTAAAGTTTGTGTGTGACCACATAAGATTGTAATTAGGACACAATATTTGATCAGAATATTTTTTGTTACCAATCCAGACAGCTCTTGTCTTTGATTTGTTCATTTTTAATCCAGATAACATATAGAAAGAATCAAAACAATTGAGGCTTTCTTGTAGTGATGTCTCACTACCATCTAAAGTTAGAAAAGTATCATCTGCATACTGACTTAATAGTGTTTGTTTTTCATTGATGAGGATACCATGAATTTTGGGGTTTGACTTAAGTTTCAAAGATAATAACTCTACACCAATAACAAACAAATAAGGGGAGAGTGGGTCCCCTTGTCTACAACCTCTCTCAAGATTGAAAAAATTTGATAGATTGCCATTGTTGATTACACAACTTTTAGCACTTTTGTAGAGAGTCTCGAACCATCTGCACATCGAAGGACCAAAATTAAAACTTTTTAATGCTTTTTGTAAAAAGACCCAGTCAACAGAGTCAAATGCCTTTTCAAAATCAACCAATAAAAGTAAGGCGCTCATGTTGTGATATTCAAGATAATGCATCAAATCATACAATAATCTAGTATTCTCCCCAATGAACCTCCCCTTGATAAATCCCTTTTGAGTGTCACTAATAATAAATGGTAATACAGACTTGACTCTGTTTGCTATAGCTGCAGAAGCTATTTTAATGTCTGTATTTAATAGGCTGATAGGTCGCCAATTACTAATATATCGCCTATCTTTTCCTTCTTTTGGTATACAAGTTATGACACTTTGATATTGAAAATCTGAAAAAAGACCAGACTCATATCCATAGAATAATGATCGATAAACAAATGGTCCAAGATCTCTCCAAAAGAATTTGAAAAAATCGACAGTAAATCCATCGCTTCCTGGGGATTTTCCATTTTTCATCTTACTCAATGCTATAGCACATTCCTCATATGTCAAGTTACCCTCACACAGGTCATGTTGTTCCTGTGTAAGGGCAACATCGTGAGAAAAAAAACTTTCACTTGAACAATCAATTTTTCTCTTTGAATACAAATTTTTATAAAAATTATGTTGTTCTGAGAGAATCGTGGATTGGTCAGATATATGATTACCCTGATCACCAATCATTTCAACCATTGTCTTCTTTATAAAATTTCTCTTTTCTAATTTAAAAAAATATTGGGAACATTTTTCACCATTTTCATGCCAGTTTGCCCGGGACCGTAATAGTAAACCCTCTATCTTCTGCTCTCTCATGGATTCTAATTCCACTTTTTTATCATTTCTAAATAAACTATTGAAGTTCTAACACTGTATCTCACATAGAATCACAGAATCCCTGGGACCTCTTTTATGTTGAGTTTGGATTTTTCAAGATGTAATATATATGTAACTAAAAATTTCTTGAATTTGATATATGAGATTCAATATGATTTCACAAATTTGAGATCAAGCATTTACGCATGATCTTTGATCTTTGAAATCATTGGTTCTCATATATACATATACAATGTACAAGTATTATGAAACACAGAGGCAATAGCTGCTGTTCTGATGAAGATGAAAACCAATAAAAGTAGGAGCATAAAGGTTCAATGCTCATAGCTATATATAATATATATATGTCATCACAGACAGAAAATCATTAAACCCCTAAGCATGACAAGAGTTTTATATACATGTGGCATAATATTTTATGTACCGGTACAATGTAATGTTAAGTATAGAATATTATTCAATATTTGATCATTGTAATTTGTATGCATCATATCCTCCTTATTTTGATTTCCTTGGTATGTGTATAATGAATGGAATTTTCTATGAACTTTTTTTCATGTTCTGTTGACCATTGATGAACTTATATGTCAAGGATTATTGACCGTTCTGTTTTATGTTATTTTATGAACATTTGTTATCATTAACTGCTCTTTTGTGTTAAAAATGCCACATGACCATTCTAGTGTGTATTTCTTTTCAGTTCTTCATACTTCTTTTGAACATATATATGTTTTTGCTTGAATTTTTATATCAAGGCAGTTGATGACATGATAGTAACATTCATTTTTTCGTTTTATTTGGTCTGCCTTCCTGTTATCAGTATAATATTGTGTATGATTTATTCTGTAAACCAAAAAATTTTCCAAAATGATTAATAAGAAAAGTTTTTGAGTAGAAAATTATTTAGAAATAAATAGTGGCGAATATGTCAAACCGGAATTTCTCTTTTATGGATACATAAACAAAACGCAAAAATGTATTGCTGCAAAAGTCAGCTTGAAAGAGTGGAAGGAGTAAAAGTATCCATGATAATACAGTTTACAGTAAATTTGTTGTATATTTCATTATATATTTGAAATAGTTGAAATTCTTGCCACATGTAAAAGAGAGACGAAAGATACCATAAGTCGAAAATAAACTGACAACGCCATGGCTAAAAAAGAAAAAGACCAACAGACAAACAATAGTACACAAAACACAAAATAGTAAACTAAAGACTGAGCAACACGAACCCCACCAAAAACATTCTGGTCTTTTTCAATGGTAATTGTCACTGTCTCTTCATATTTTTTCTATACACCAATTTCCAGTTCCTCCACTATTAAAGGGGGAAAAATGCCATAATTTTGTAGCATCATTGCCATCAAAATAGAAAAGCTTTTGTGTCACAGATCAAAAGTGATTGTTATGTAAGCTTCATTAGGTCAATAGAAACATAATTAATGATAGTTGTAAATTAAATGATAGTGTCTGAGGTATAAATCCTGTCTTTTAAAATTTATTTGGGCATGTTGGGTAGACCCTTTTATATCATTGTATATTTGGAGATTTTTGTATGGTTTGCCACTTGTCCATTGTTAAAGACTGTTATATAATGACATCTTGATGTCTATGTTCTTGAACTAGTGTTTTTAGTTTGCCATCTAGTTGATGTT